CCACAGGTGACCCCGACTTGAGTGATGTTGAGCTGGCCATGTCCACCCTGGCCAGCCCCACCACCCGGTCCCCCGAAGTCAAACACAACCCTGAGCAGCCCTCAATGAAATCGTGTTTGACACCCCTGATCTAGTCTATTGTATGGTTTTTCACAAAAAAACTCCCACGTGACGTGCAGGTCATTTATATGGCTTAATGTAAAGTTCTCCAATCTTTTTTAGCACGTTTGGATACATTATTTAAAATGTAAACAGGTAGAGATAGAATAAACAAATGCACTACTTTCTGACATACAGGTAGTCCTCGACTTACAACAGTTCATTTAGTGACCATTCAAAGTTACAACATCACTGAAAAAAGTGAGTTAGGACCATTTTTCACACGTACAACTGTTGTAGCATCTTCATGCCCGTGTGATCAAGATTCCGACGCTTGGCAACTGACTCATATTTATGACAGTTGCAGTGTCCTGGGGTGATCCTCTTTTGTGACCTTCTGGACAAGCAAAGTCAACAGGGAAGCCAGACTCACTTAACAACCGTGGTACTAACTTGACAATAGCAGTGATTCACTTAACAACTGTGGCAAGAAAGGTCGTAAAATGGAGTAAAACTCACTTAACAAATGTCTCACTTAGCAACATAAATTTTGGGCTCAATTATGGTCATAAGTTGAGGACTACCTGTACTTTCCATGTTTAAAATCTGAATTGGGACAATATATCATGGTAAAGCTTCAACACTCAGTGACACTAACTCAATTTCATGGCCTATTTTATCTGAAATGTCATCAAAAGCTTGTGATAGAATTCCTAACCAGATGTTCCTATGATTTTGATTGATATATATGAACTGTGGTCTACTGAATTCCCACTAAGATAATTGTAAGATGGAGTAAAAGACAATTGCCCTTTTGTAACATTCTTTTTATGACATGTCTATCTGCTTCTTTTTGGTCAGCCCTGTTATTTTCCCACCAGTTTTAATTCCTTGTTGTTTTTGTTCTCATCAGCACACAAACCTTTGCCCTACGTTGCATGCATCAAAGTCAATACAATCCTTGCTAGACATATTTTGCCGTAGAGGTATTGTCCCTAATTGCATGAAAGAGATCGTATCGTTTCCTGTAAGTTGACACAGTAACTATTTCAAATAAAAATCCTTTCCTTGAGTTTATGTAGAAATATAAACAAACCATCTTTGAAGCATATATTTGTTTTAATGTTTCCTTTTATCAAATGCAGGTTTTCCCTAATAATACGTTTTCTTCAGCTACACCTTAATTTCAAATGAATTTAATTTAGTAATATTTCATTTACCGTTAATTGTAGGCAAATTATATATTTGGTTTGCAAAGTTAAAGGTTTATTTATAATAGTCAACAAATGCATTATATATTTGTTAATGTATAATATTTTGCTTCTTCCACCACCTTTACAAATTATAAGCATTTATTGCTGCATAAAAAACAACAACAAAGAAGCTGGGCTGGCTTTGAAAAATATCATAGATCCATAACCGGTCAATTGTTTATTAGGATTATTCAAATCTTATCAAATCAAATATTAGGATTATTCAAAACACCCCTCCCAAAAATGTACTCCAAAAGCATGCAGGAAATATTCATCAGGTAAGTTGAATAAGGAATACAGCACAGTCACCAGACATACCTATTTTTTTCTTTGGAAAAAAAAGAAGTAGCAGAAATCACCCTTCCTTTCTGGGCACCATTTTGGGCACTTGAGCATGGCTGAGGCAGCTGAAGATGCAATTAGTTCAAGATCCACTATGGACCCAAATTATCTGGACAAATCAAATTTGTCTTTCTGATTGTCTGTGAGGGAACGACCTATGAGGCCCAACTAGATATCTGCAGGTAATGCCATTAATTATTGTGTGATCTAAAGGTAGCCACAGTCATCCATGGGATGGGAATGGGAAGCGGGGAACAAGGGTGGATAAATGAAAAAAATATGCACTGTGATGCAATTCTTGCCTTTTTGGTACTTGTGTTCACAACATGGTCAATGCAAAAAAGTTATCTACTAGCTCAGGGGTGTCAAACTCGTGTCGTCACAGCGTCACCATGTGATGTAACTTTTCCCTCTTTGCTAAACTGGGCATGGGCGTGGCCCGCTCGTGACACATCCGGCCCGTGGGCCGCGAGTTTGACAGTGTCTGTACTAGCTAGATTGGATATAGCTTAGATTGGTGGCTCCCTTATTAAGAAGAATGGCATACAAATAAATGAATCAATAGTAGGTTAGAACTGAGGAATAGAATCTCTTCAGAAAATATCTGTGTTGATGTTCTTTAAAACATTGAAAAGGAGAGGGGGGGAGGATCCCTTACCTCTGCCTTCTTGCAAGTTTGCCTTCTTCAAATGTGTATCTATCACAATTTCCAGAATCCCCAGCCAGCATTTTCTAATTTCAGCCCATCACTAGAGTTAAATTTAGCATGATTGAGTTAAGATAATTTTTTCCTCAAGTCAAGCTCTATGGACATATCCAATAGTTCCCTTGGTTAACAGTACAAAAATGCTTGTAGTTATCTTTTTCAAGATTACCATTTTTATTTTACTTCTCAGGGTTGTCTACAACTTTGTAATTTCCAGGTAGTCACCCTCCAGTTAGTAACCAGGTCCAATTAAGTTAACTTTTCCAACACTGGCCAAGGTTAATTTTGTGCTCCCAACTAGTGGAACAATTTATTCATTCATTCATTCAATTTATATTGCCGCCTATTTGCCCATGGCGACTCAAGGCGGCTTACAGAATATAAAACCACATTTAAAACAATAAAACTAATAAAAAGAATCAAATAAATTAATATAGTATAATATAATAAAGCAAGGTTACTTTACAATGAGCATTTACTTTTAACTTGCTGCTTCGGCTTTACTTACTTTTTTTCTCTTTCCTCTTTCTCACATACATTTTGCTAAAGTTACTTTCTTTCTAATGAACCAAATTTGTCTTGGTTTGATTGGCCAACTCTGATGGTAGCAACAGATCAATACAATATAAGATTTTGTTCTGGTGCTATGGTACAATGACTCGGGAGCTGATGAACAAGTCCCTTCATTCACCTGTTAAATAAGTATAGTAGAAACCAAAGTGGGCATTGATCCTTTAATCTGATTGCATGCTGTGGAAGAAGATGCAAGAAAGAGGAAATAGATGACATTTTTCAGGGAATTTGCGGTAAAGTTTATTTCTATGTCCATTAAGAAAGTGAAGGAAAGGTAATATTAATTGACCTAGAGCAATTTTGGATTCGTGGAAATAAAAAAAAAACCAAACAATTGGAGATAAAAAATGTTGATTTACCTCCAAGGTAGGAAGAAATTAGTTTTACCTTTAGTTAGCTATAAGTTAGCTTTAATTCATGCTTAGTATAGAATTGCCAATTGTAGCAATAGCACTAGCACTTAGACTTATATACCGCTTCACAGTGCTTTTACAGCCTTCTCTAAGCGGTTTACAGAGTCAGCATATTGTCCCTAACAATCTGGGTCGTCATTTTACCCACCTCGGAAGGATGGAAGGCTGAGTCAACCTTGAGCCTGGTGAGATTCGATCTGCCAAATTGCAGGCAGACAGCAGTCAGCAGAAGTAGCCTGCAGTTCTGCATTCTAACCACTGCGCCACCACAACTCTTGTAACTAGAGTTTTATGTATATCTATAAGGTTTGGTGCTTTTTTTCTGAAGAATCAAATATTGGAATAAAGAGTAGAGGAAAGAACATCATCATATGCTTATGATACAACTGTCCTTTCAAAAATCAAAAGACATCTGATCAAAAGGATTAAAGAAAAAAATGAGAAATTTGGCCCCATCTTGAACATCAGAAATACAAGTTCATGTATACAAGACACTGTGAGGAATGGAAATGTCAGAATAACAATTGAGTAAACAAGTAAAGAGATCTATTGTTTGCAAGAATTCATTTTCCTAAGATCGCAAATTGATCAAAGCAGTATACATGGTCCAGAATAAAGTGTTGAATTGCAGTAGGCTATACGGCAATGATGAGTATGAATCAAGTATGGAAAAGCAAGCTCATCAGGATGGTAACTAAACTATCATGTTTCCCATAGCTACCTTGGAGAAACCAAAGAGCCTTGATACAAAAGGATCGTTGAGCGCAGGAGAAACAGCACCACAGGACAGCACCACAGAATCAATAGTAGGCTCTCAAATCAGACACAATTGAATATATAGTATGATCATAACAATGTATTTATATATTTGAGGTATTCTATAGTACCTCAGTCTACAGGACTTTGAGCGGAATATGCACAACATATCTACTACCCCTGTTTCCCCTAAAGTAAGACATCCCCTGATAATAAGTCCAATCAGGCTTTTGAGCGCATGCACTAAAATAAGCCCCCCCTGAAAATAAACCCGCCCTGAAAATATTTAAATGCATGCACAGCCGGTCCCCACCATTTCCTATGGTTAGGTTTAGGGAGATAGAGCTGGAAATCAGGTAAGATGGCAAGAGGAGCCCCGTCTTGTTCCACACACCCCAAAATAATAAGACATCCCCAAAAATAAGGCCAAGCACTTATTTCGGGGTTCAAAAAAATATAAGACAGGGTCTTATTTTCGGGGAAACACGGTATATTAAGTATTTCAAAAACCAATATTCAAAATATCCATCAAAGCTTTTTGCTCCATTCTTTATTAATGTGATGAATTTATTATTTTCTAATAATATTATTTTCTAGCTTCCTCTTGTGTCAAACCTTCAAAGACTGATTATTGTGTTTCTTCTTAAAAGTAACACAATCATCATTTCCCGTGGGAAGAATTCTTCGAATTAATTTAAAACCTTAATTCCAAGTTCATCTGCACCTTTAATCCATTGTAAACTTTCCAAAATCCATATTCTAACCACTTTTTTTGCTGCTTAATCCAAAAAATAATATTTTTCTAAAACTTTTAAAATCGTATTTAAGACCTCTTTCTCCAAAAAGAAAGAAACTTACCCAGTGAAAGCAATGAAGGCTTTATGTTCCTGAAGGGCCTTAATGTTTCTAGAACAAGAAGAAAAATCCTATTTGTATAGACATGTACAATGAGAGAGTTTTGACTAGGCTGCCATGACTCGGTCATCTTGATATATATTTTTTTTACCCTATCTCAGGAATACCACAAAGGAGAACTATGCAACTAAGCATCTTTAATGCTTAATAATATAGTTTCAATATATTTAAGTGCCTCTACTATTTTATGCTGTTTTATTCCTTGTACTGTTTAACACTGTGTTTTAGTTTTATGATCCTGTTTAGAGGAGATCAATTGAAAATTGTTTTCTGTATGATTAAGCTTAGATTCCGGCCATTACTTATTTTATACCTGACCTTTTAATTCAAGTGAGGGATATGAATGATTTGGTCATTCTAAGAATGGTATATAAATTTCCTCACTTTTGTTGCCCTGACTAGAAATCTTTTATTGAAATTATTTCTTTATCTAACTGAGAACACTATAAAGAAAAATTATTGAATAGAAAATGATATCACCCACTTCACTAAAGCATATTCTGAAAAGCTCTTATAGACAGCCATTTGTATATTGATTGTCTTGTTGCCTTTCGCTGCACAGGGAAAAAGTGGTCAATTTATATTAGCTTAGGACATATTTCTGCATGACATTAAAATATATCTATATTAAGGAAAGCAGATATAAAAATGTCACATTAGTATTTTAATAGGAAGTAAAAAGAATAATCTGTCAGACCATTTAAAGGAATCTAACATTTTAAACATGTAACATAGGATAACAACTTTTTATATGGTGATTTTTCATAAGATGAGTTTTATTAAAGCATCTAAAGGATCATTTTGCATTCAAAACACCCAATATTTTCCTGAGCTCAATATGAAACTATGAAATTCTTGCTCAGATAATTCAAGGTATTTTTTTTTAAATGCTATTGCACTGGTGAAACTAAAAGTTACCAATGAATTCACAACCATAATATAAACAATACACAATATTATTGTAAAATACCACAAAATATCTGTCATTTCTCCCTGGCGAGACTGGTACTCCCTCTGTGAAACCAGACACTCTTAGAAATATGATGTTTCTCCATTATTAATATTTAGAAATCAGTTAAAAGTACCTAACTGTGAAAGAAGCCATTGAGATAAATGGGATGTGTCAGTTACATACCTTGGAGGTGTATATTATTATTTATCATGTTTTTATGAATTAACAGCAAAAAACATGATGATTTTATAGATTAGATTGCTATTTATTCTGGTATATCTTATGTTTTATTATACTTGTAAGGTGCTTAGATTCATTGCATTGAAGTAGCAATAGCACTTAGACTTATATACCACTTCATAGAGCTTTACACCCCTCTCTAAGCAGTTTACAGAGTCAGCATATTGCCCCCAACAATCTGGGTCCTCATTTTACCCACCTCAGAAGGATGGAAGGCTGAGTCAACCTTGAGCCTGGTGAGATTCGAACTGCCAAATTCCAGGGAGCCAGCAGTCAGCAGAAGTAGCCTGCAGTACTGCACTCTAATCACTGCACCACCATGGCTCATTAAAGTAACATTAAAAACACTATAAAATTGAGAATTATTTTAAAATAATGCCAATAGAGAAAAGTGAAGTAATGATAGCTTTTCCCCCCAAAGGTCAAAATGTTACCCAGTAAATAATATGGTTTGCTACAGTAAATAAAATAATTTGCTGCTCTGGCAGGTTAGTTTCTTTCTGTTTAGCTAGCTTATAGGTAAAGTTTAGCAATCCTGACCTTACTGGCCAAAACAGGTGCAGCAAGTTCCCTTCACAAGGAAGTGTTTAGGGGTTATTACTTACTTCTCTTTTTCCTGTTACAAGTATTGATGGGAAAGAGAAGGGAAGTGAGGCCACTCCAGCCTCCATCTTCCTTCCAGAGAAGCCATTCACAGTTTTTCAGGTGCAATCTCGACCCATCTGGGGGTATTTCACAGGCAATCAGCATATCTCTACATACCTTTAGGTAGTTTAGGCCCTGGAGGGGTCTGGGGGCAGTTATATTTTTGGCCTAGTCAGGAAGTAGACCACGTTATAGCTAGGAGCACATGGTCTCTATCATGGAGCATGGCTGCTAGTTGTTATTCATCTTGTAATCATACCCTATTGCTTACTTGTTTGCAGTTTTACCAGATCTTGCAGCATTGAATACAGTTTATTTTTATTTTATTTTTTTAAAGCTTTTTATTAGTAATTCAAGTTAAAAAAAACAATGGACATGGTTTAACGTCTCTGGTTTTCACCATTATTGTCAAATTTAAGCTAATAAATAACATACCTCTTTATCTTTGTACAAATTTGCATTACTTCTTGCATGTCAAGTGTATAAATTAATTCCTCCTAAACAGCTACATCTCTACTCAATATAATCATATCTTGCATACAGATTTAACATACATTGGCATGCCCATTTCTAGACATTCACTACACCTTCATCTTGGCATTCCTCCTCCTGTCCAACCATTCATAAAATTTAGTCCAGATTTTGAGCATGGAATACAGTTTAGATGGTGATGTACTGTCTCCTTTATTAAATGGCGAAAAAGGTTAATTGCCTGGACAGTTTTCCATAGAGCCACAAGGTTGTGGATTAGTGAGTCCAGGACAATGGTGAAGGAGAAATGGGGGGAAAATGGATCAAAATAGTGAAAAATAAACAAATGATGTTGATTTATTTATTAAATTTATATGCTGCCTAAAGGTGGAGAGGAAGATCTTACCTCCAGCAGCAAGATTTTTCTGAAGGGCAGGGGCCATGGCAGAAGAGGTGTCCAATCTTGTCAATTTAAGACTTGTGGACTTCAACTCCTTAATGCTAGCTGGAGATCTCTGGGAGTTGTAATCTGCAAGTCTTAAAGTTGCTAAGGTTAGATACCCCTACCCTTGATCCTTGGCTGGTCCTCCTTTGTTAAATCTCATTCTAGTTTTGGTGGGCTTTCTGAAATTATTCTACACTCCATTAATTATTGAAATCAGTCTGGGCATATCTTAGTAAGCAGGTGAGAAAAGACTGAATAGATTTCATTAAAAATTGAATCTACAAGCTGCCAATTGCCAAAACTTTTTGACATGCTTAAAAAGAGAGCAAGCTTTGGCACATCAAATAAGCATTTGGAAGAAATTCACTGAGTTTGCAATACCAGTTTCATTTTCTAAAGTTCTACATTAGCCTGAATGTAATTATACCCATATTTAAGGTTTTTGTAGTACAAATTGCCATTCAAAAGATTATTAAGGAGATAAATAATTTCTTTATAAATGCATTGTAACTGGGAAAAGTGCTTCACCAAAGTGAATATAGAAGAAATGTGGACTCAAAAAGTCTACATTACAAGAAAGAGGCACAAAAAGTCTGAAAAAAAACGTTCGTATAGATTTTTTTTTTTTAAATTATACAGACAGAGCTAGAAATAAATTAGAAAACACTTAAGACTGGGAAAATGGGTAAATTGAGCAAAACTGAACTTGGCAGGTTCATTGATCCATAGCAGCAAAGATAAAATTATACCATAAACCGTGAAGTTGTTGACTCTTCTGAAGACTTCACTAACAATGAACATTTGCATAAGGTTTAAATGTTGAGCTTGCAAAAGAAATTATTTTTTAATAAAGGTAGATAGAGTTGTCCAAATGTTCCTGGCAGAGATACATAGCTTGACAGGTATTCCAATATGCATTCAGACACCAAGAATAACAGTCTATTATACAAAACATATGCATGACCCAATAAATTTGTCAGTCACCACAAAATAATTTCCATTCAAATAGAATACACAACTAGGACCAGGCTGTGGGAAACGGTGATGAAAACCGGAATAGCCTTTCTGTGCTCACTTCAAAGATGGTTCTAAATCTGCATTTTAAAGCAATCAATGTCTTAATCAGGTCTATCGGGTTTTCAAATATACCTACTCAAATCTTATGGTATCCTTCAAAATTCATGTTTGTAAGTCCCCCCCTTCCCCCAAGCAATATGAGTTTGGAAAAAAAGTATTTACAGTAATGATACCCTAGTTTTGGAAAGCTTTCCTCAGAAAGACTTTTTCATGAGAGTCATTGCTGGACACATCGTCATACATTCAATTTTAGACCCATTTTAGATGATAGGATGCAAACTGGGAACAGGGCAGTGGTGGTTTCAAAATTTTTTACTACCAGTTCTGTGAGTGTGGCTTGGTAGGCATGGCATGGCTTGGTGGGCGTGGCAGGGGAAGGATACTGTAAAATCTCCTTTCCCTCCCCACTCCAGGGGTAGTTTACTGCAAAATCCCCATTTCCTACTGATCAGCTGGGACTCAGGAGGCAGAGAATAGATGCGGGTGGGGCCAGTCAGAGGTGGTATTTGCTGGTTCTCCGAACTATTCAAAATTTCTGCTACTGGTTCTCCAAAACTGGTCAGAATCTGCTGAAACCCACCTCTGGAACAGGGGAATTTTAGTCATGTTCTCTTTGAAATTTACCAGCAGATTGCAGACAATATTGGAAAGATAACTTTTTAAAGAGAACTACATTTACAACTGTTAGAAAGTCTGTTTCTAACTCTGTTAGTGCCCAGTTTTCTGTCTCTGATTATTATAGTTCCATGGGCATCGGGGAAAAGCATTCTCTTTATTTTAATTTGCATTTTATTTAATTTGCCGTCGACATAGTGCACACAGTCAGTGGAGAATTATTCATGCACAATTCTGTAATGTAAGGGTAGTGTGTATGTGTGTGAGTGAGTGAGTGAATAAGTGAGTGAGTGAGACGGAGGGAGGGAGGGAGGGAGAGAGACAGAGACAAAGACAGAGAAATAAAAACCCATCTAATATATCATTCTGAAAATGTTTTCTTCTGAGAATCTGGCTGTACTAAACTATTAACTGTGTTCAAAAGCAATAGTTCTCACTGATCACCACCTGAGTTTATTTATTTATTTTATTTATTTGTCAAGTACGTATAAGATAATATATATAAATATAAGCATGAATTGAATACATAAAATGAATACAATTAAAGGGAAAATTAGGACAGGGACGGTAGGTATGCTGGTGCTCTTATGCACGCCACTTACAGACCTCTTAAGAATGGGGTAAGGTCAACAGTAGCCAGTCTAAGGTTAAAATTTGGGGGGTTTGGGGATGAAATCACAGAGTCAGGTAGTGCATTCCAGGCATTGACCACTCTGTTGCTGAAGTCATATTTTCTGCAATCGAGTTTGGAGCGGTTCACTTTAAGTTTGTATCTATTGTGTGCTTGTGTATTGTTGTGGTTGAAGCTGAAGTAGTCATTGACAGGTAGGACATTGTAGCAGATGATTTTATGAGCTATGCTTAGGTCATACCGAAGGCAGCGTAGTTCTAAATTTTCTAAGCCCAAAATTTCAAGTCTGGTGGCATAAGGTATTTTGTTGCGAGCGGAGGAGTGGAGGACTCTTCTTGTGAAATATTTCTGGACATGTTCAATTGTATTAATGTCCGATATGTGCGGGTTCCAGGCAGATGATCTGTATTCGAGAATTGGTCTAGGTTAGTACTCTGTTTTCCCCAAAATAAGACATCCCCTGATAATAAGCCCAATCCGGTTTTTGAGCACATGGCAATAAGGCCAAGCGCTTATTTCAGGGTTCAAAAAAAATATAAGACAGGATCTTATTTTCGGGGAAACACGGTAGTGTAATATTACCGGAGAAGAAGAAGAGTTCAAAGAAAGCTGTATTTATTTCCATTGGGGCATGTTTAAAAGGAATGTTTTTGCAGTTTTCTGCCCTATCCAAACTGAAAATCTGAGACCCTGAAAAAAAGATATCTCCTTCCAATCCAAAATGATTCCTGTATTAAAGGTAAAGGTTTCCCTTGTCTAGTCGTGTCTGACTCAGTGTGTGTGTGTGTGTGTGTTTATATAGTAGTTACATTTGTATGCTTTTGAACTACTAGGTCAGCAGGAACTGGGGAAAATATCAGGAGTTCTCCCTGTTGCAGGCTCCCGGGTTCCTGTGTTATGGAAGGTCAATTTTAATTGTGCAGTGTGCCTCTTCTCGACATCAATAGACAAGAAAATAAAGAACTTCTATCAAACACTTATAATTATTTTTCGCTTAAAGTATCTTAATGCTATATGCTCCCATTCTTATTGTTCCATTCAGATAGCAATTTTATGGTGACAGACTCGTCTATGAAGAAAATAATGAATCCTGAAACAGTTTATAATGAAGAGTTTCTAAGAGGTGTTCCTAACTACCATTCCTTGAGCATTACTTTTGTTCTGCATAATAATGGATATGGGGTAAGAGCGGCAATTTATTATTTTAGCACAGAAGGATAATGCCAATTTTGTATTCCTGAAGAAAGAAAACATTCTTCTGATACTATTGTTGTTGTTAGTTGCGAAGTCGTGTCCGACCCATTGCGACCCCATGGAGAATGTTCCTCCAGGCTTTCCTGTCCACTACCATCCCCCGGAGACCATTTAAGCTCACGCCGACTGCTTCAGTGACTCCATCCAGCTACCTCATTCTCTGCTATCCCGTTCTTCTTTTGCCCTCAATCGTTCCCATCATTAGGCTCTTCTCCAGTGAGTCCCTCCTTCTCATTGGTGGCCAAAGTATTTCAGTTTCATCTTCAGGATCTGGCCTTCTAAAGAGCAGTCAGGGTTGATCTCCTCTAAGACTGACCAGTTTGATCACCTTGCAGTCCAAGGGACTCACAGGAGTCTCCTCTAGCACCATAGTTCAAAGACCTCAATTCTTTGATGCTCAGCCTTCCTTATGGTCCAACTTTCACAACTATACATTGCAACTGGGAAAACTATAGCCTTGACTATACACACTTTTGTTGGCAGGGTGATGTCTCTGCTTTTTAGTGTGCTGTCTAATTTGGCCATAGCTTTCCTCCCCAGGCAGAAGTGTCTTTTAATTTCTTGGCTGTAGTCCCCATCTGCGGTGATCTTGAAACCCAGGAAAATAAAATCTGTCACTACCTCCATTTCTTTCCCATCTATTTGCCACGATCTGATACTATT